GGGGGGAGAGTTGGGAGTGGAAGATGGTGGTTACATCACAGAGCAACGCCTTTACTGTAGACTGTGCCGCCCGCCTGCGCCCTGCGCCGCCGCCGTGCTTGCGCGGTGGGTGGAAAAGCGTCTTACATGCCTTGGCTCACCCAGCTGTCTGCCACCCTGCTCTGTCATCTTAGCTGTGGTCTGTCGGGTTGTGCTTCTTGGCACATTGGGGGACCCAGACGCAGCAGAGCGCAAGGCTGACAGGACCCAGACGCAGCTAGGTCGGGGGAAAGGACCGATAGGCGATGTCATCTCTAAAAAAAAAAAGGAAGGACTGTGGGGGAGGGGGGAAGCAAGCCCCTCGATACTACGTAATTGCTGCCGGTGTGATGGGACGACAGCTGCTGACGCCCCTTTGACCCTTCTCTCTGCTCTCCAGCCAGGAGACCGTGACCTGTTTGGAGCGTAAGCCAGTTCTAGGCTTTGCCCCATCCGACGTACTGCGCGCAGCGCAGCTAACAAATGCTGACCGGTGTACTGTACCTCTCGTATCCCCATCCCCAAGAGGACTGATTGCTAACGTCCCGGCACGACAGGTTAGCAACACCACGGGCGCCCGTGGTCGATTCGTCCCTGGAGGATGGGGACGAACGAACGAACCGGCAAGTGCTGACAGGATCGTGCACAACGGCGCGCAAGCAGATCCCATCAGCCTGGTACTCTAGGGAAACGGGAACCTCGGAATATCTCACTTCCCAGACGACCACCCGTCCGCGCCGAGCATACACAATCTTGGCTAGGGCGTTTCCAGCTCTGGGGTGCCAAGCTGCTTGCCCTTCCCTTTTTCCACCGGGTCACTTTTCCTGCTTTCTTTCTAAACTGCCGTAAGAACAAAATTCCTGATCGGGAGCAGATCCCCAGCATCCCTGATGGTGCCGAGATCTACCCGGGACCGAATACGTTTTGCATTAGGATTGCGGTCTGGCCATGCCCTATTCTTGACAGCCTTGTCGTCGCCTCGCTGCAACCTGATTCCTGGGATTTCGTCCCCACTGGCTAGAGTGTATCACGTGTTTGTCTTGTTTTGACATTTGCAAGAAAGCAAGTAGAGCCTATCGCAGCAAGGCGGGAGCGCCCAGAGCACTATGCGCCCTCAAACCCTGCAGCTTAGGAAACCAATGTTTGCATATCGCAGTACAGGTATCCCTTTCCCGCTTTTCGGACAAACGTGAAGGTGTGGCAGCCAAGCGCCAGCATCGCAGCTGCTGAGCTCCCCTGTCGAGCTGTGCTTGCTCCTTGACGGCAGCTCGACTGAGCCCACCTTTACTCATCGACACTCTCTTTTCCGTTGTTGAGGCGATTTTTTGTTTGTCCAGACTAGCTGGCCTTGCAGCCAGCTCCTTGTATACAGAGTCCATGCCCTAAACCGTCGGGACCTAGGTCGGCGCGGCCAACAAAGGTGAGGCTGACCACGGCGGCGCTGCATTCGCCCGTGGCAGCATTTCTCAGCTTAACCATAGGCCATGGGGAAACACGGCTGAAGTGGCATTTGCCTGCCGAGGCGGGAACCGCCCAGAAGAAAAGAGAAACGCCAAACCCGGCGCTCCAACCAAGCCAAACAGAATCGTCTGTGTGCTCTGAAACACCAAGACGAGTGGGCGTCTTTGCTACGGGAACACCGGCTATGGACCCCTCCTTTTTTTTCTTTTTCTTCGCTGCCACTCGAGAGCATGCGTCAGGGCCTAGAACTTGTCTCGGCGGCACGGCTGTTGCGCGCTTGCCGGGAGCCCTTCAACGCCCTCTAATGGGGCACACTGCAGCCCTTTTCGCTACCACGAGTGCCTCCTCCATCGTCATGGCATGGCGGCCGCTTCCGCTTCCTGTCTGCTCTCCACTCTTCCAGATCGCGCAGAAATCGGGCATCCGACCGCAAAACCGGGATGCCCTGCCATTATCCTCCCCCGCTATATTGACTTCAGGTGAACACATCTTGGGTGGGGGGAGAGCGCCCGCTCATGCGCCAAAAATATCGCCAAAAATATCACCCTGCCCCAGCACGCTGTTTGAAGGGGCCGCATGGGGCACTGGAATATTCCATCGATTGGTCGTCTTTCGCCGACGTAGAATTCCTGCGTTCCATCGGAGCTCGCAATGGAATCAAGTTTTCGTAGTGGTTCTCTGCCATCCAGCCTGAGAGGGTTGCACGGCGTGCGAAGGGGACCGACCGGGCGTCGTCCCATCCCCCGCACCGCCCACATGCACACCACTCTCTCGCACATTGGACGACAACCTTGGGGCCGTGCGACCCTCCCGTTCGGCCTTCGATGACGTCGTGTCGAGGCGCCCACGACAGCCACCCGGGACGCCGGAGCCGCGTGTACGCTCCCCATCCGGCCTGGCTCGACCCAGCGCCCGCTCCCCGAGTATTGCATTTGCCATGTATGTGCGCATAGTATAGGGTAGGTGGCCTGGGGCCGAAAGCAGCGGCTTGTTCGGTTGACTGCCTGGCTAGGCTTCCCAGTCCAGCCACCCAGCGCGCCCAATCCCCTTCGGTTTGGGGGGATGTAGAACCCGGCATTGCGGCTAATTAGGTAGGTACCTATACTCCCCTCTCCTCTCCTCCCGGGGCGCTGGCAAGCGCAGAGCCAACCAGCAGGCGTTCCGGGCTTGTTCGCCCCGAGCCCCTATATGCCGGCAAGCCGGCAATACAACCCCCAGGAGTAGCCATGACCAGGACCGCAATAAAGCACAAAGGGCTGGGAAAAACTGCGAGTGGTGGAATCGGGGCCCGTTTCTGTGGAGACGGCTCGGCTGTCGAGCCCCAAGGTTCCGGGGCTGCGTGTGCGGTGTGGTGTGGGCGAGGCTGCTTTGACGCAGACTCGCGCGCTGGCGTGGTCGCCCCGTCTAATTACCCGCCAGATATCGATAGCCTATTTCGTGGTTGAATGTTATATATAGATGACTGTAGTTGAGGGTTCCAGCTAATGATTCCCCCTTGCTCCAAAAAGCTTGCTTCCCCGGGACGCTTCCACGCGTTGGTTGCATATCACGCCATTGCACTCGGGTAGACCTTCTCACCTGGCCTCGTCTGTGATATGACGACTCCGTGGCTGATTTCGTGCATGCCTGTGCGTGGCTTTTTGCTCTGAATGACGTTACCACTGCTTTCGGGCATCAGACCGCCTGCTCGACAGGTTATCGAGACATGAGTGACCTTGATGTCTTGGTGAGGTCTGGGACGTTGCACAACACCGAGTATAATACCAGACAAAAGTGGGGTTCCACGGCTGCTGTCGTGCCTATACCACTCTCGGATCCGCCCCGAGCTCTCATGAAAGAGCAGTTAGAGTCTATCTACTCGATAACATATTCGTGGGGTCTCTTGGTTGATAGTCTAACCCTTGATTCCTAGTTTGCGCTCATATCGCTATCCAGCCCTCGAGCGCGGAATCTAGCTTGGGCTAGAGGATCTATCCGTCTGTGGATCTGCTGGAGTATCAGGGCATAGCAAGGCTGCTCGGAAGATCGGGGTTTCCTGCCACCTTCCTCTTCCCTACAAGACCCACCTTACACTCTAGAGGTAACGACGGGGCTAGTGACAAGCTGGGGGCAGCCTGAAAGCGGTAAGATCCGCCTCCCGAGTGTACCCCGGGGCCCCGATGTAGCAAAGCTGGAATCTATACTATCCAGCAGGATTTTTGGGACTAGGTGGCACCGGGAATAGGTGGGGGAGCCCAAGGACTTGCCCATCAGCCTCCATCTGGCCTTGTACGAGTGCATGGGGTACGTGTCCAGGGAACTCCCATGGGGTTCAGAGAGGCGTCTGCTTACGAGGGGCTGACCGACAGAAGGAGGCAGGCACGGTGGCCATTCAGTTGGCCATCAAAACACAAGAACCATGCGGTAGACACTCTATAAGCACTTGCTGAACAGACCTCCTCAATGCCATCCTCCGATAAGTCCGATGCCGTACGCTCAGCACGTTCATTTTATCACAGACAATTTTCAGCCCAGCCCATACGGGCTACTGAATCCTTGGGCTTCAGACTCGTGGGATGGAAACTGCCTATCCTGCCGCACCTCTTGGCTGGGCGCTTTCTTCAGAGCTATCCATATAGTCCTGTATTCGAGGGACGGGTGCTTTAAAGCCCGCATATCCGGGGCTTCGTTTTTTGATCGCTGCGGCTTGCCGTCACCAACATGTCTTCAGCCTTGTTCCACCAAGAGGCCTATTGTCGATACTTGGACTATACGGGAAGATGGACCGCTCGCCAACTCTATGTGCTATCCGGCACACTTTGACCATGCTAGACTTGGGAACAGTCGCTTCGATTCCCATGTGGTTGCGTCGACGGCGAAGGCCCGGGCAGCAAAGCAAGCATACGGGTCCCAGCAAAGCCCATCTACCTCTGGGGAGATATCGAATGTAGTACTATATGGTATTTCTACCTTCTCTCTTCGTTTCCCTTGTACCAGTTATTTAGTAGGGCACACTCATGCCCAACCTCTAGCAACCCAGATTGCTCGCTTCATGCATAACCACCTAGCCAGCAGCTTTCATTTGCGAGGCCGCAACTGAACTGGAGAGTGGAAATGCCAGGTTCGATGTCAGCCACGCCGTAGGGAAGACTTGCGCTGGATGCTAGACTTGGCTTCTCGCTGCCTACTGGTTTGTTGCTATCCTATCTCTTCCAAGCAATCTCCCAGGCATCGCGGACGCGCCGTCATAAGGTAGGCATATGGGAAAGGGCCCCACGGCGTATTTATAGCGATATCGAGGTCAATGTGTCCCTACTACCTGCAAGTTATACGTAGGTAAGCATACTACCTAGGTAGGTACTTCAAGACGTTTAGGAAAATCGATCATCGAATCCCTGATTTCTCACCCCCAACAGTATGAGATCCTGCATGTCCAATATGGCTCAGTATCTTGGCACCCTACTTCGGTATAGACTTCTGTGGGTAGGTGTTGCTGTCGAAGGCAAGTATGGAAGGGATGGGCATCTTGGGGTTTTTTTTGGTTTTTTTTGCACCTGGCAAGCCTCGCAAGCAGCAGTGGTATATCGAGTGGCACAAACGCATGCATAGTGCTATACATGATAACGGCATGAGCTCTGCGATATGCCTACGGTAATGCAACAGATGGACTTGATCCCAACGGGGTGTCATGTCGGGCCCGGGCTAGGGAAGCCTTGTGGGGCCGCGGATGGACTTTGGTGTCTCCGCCGAGCTAAGCAGCCACGAGGCGAACAAGGTCCGGAAGAATTCGTGTTCCCAGGCCGGCCTCGAACCAAAGACCGAGCCTTCTAGATAAGTTCTAGAATGGTAGCCGGGCACGTTTTAGCGCTTCCAAAGAGTTCCAAAGGACCGAAGCATCGGAACGGCGCTCCCCAGTGCAGAACAACCGGTGGGGGCTGATTTCCTGCGTCCCTGCTCGACGGAAGGGGCCTGGGTGTGTAACCAGGGTTGGACGATGAGTGGAAAGGACGTGCGCTCGCATGGTCAGCAGTGGTTTATTCGAAGAAAGATGGAACGAAAAAAGAAGGCAAGAAGTGATGGCCTGTGCCCCAATAACGTCCTCGGGCTCCGTTGTCAATCAATCCGCCGATGGAGGACGGTGGAGAAAAGGCGCTTGTCCTCTTGTGGATTTTGGCGAAATTTTGTCCACTTCTGTGGTCACTCTCACCCGCTCGACGGCGGCGGCGGGCGCCCGAAGCCAGTGCATCCCGCCTCGTTGGTTAGCCTTGGCGGGCGTGATATTTGGTCCGGGTGCGAGATTGCAACAGGGCCCTGGCTCCCCTATCTTTTGCTTGCTGTCTTTTGGGGGAGAGTGTGCCGCGACGGAGAGTTGATACCGCTTCGGGAAGCTGAGGAGCTCCCTTGTGCGGTAGAGGACGGAGATAGCGCGGCGGATGACGCGACAAGCAAAGACGGTCTGGTAGGCGTGCTAATCCCGAAGCGGGAAAACCTGAAGAGGCCGTCGCTCGATTTACGACCTCCCGCGTTTCCGAGTCGCATGAGCCATGACACGAATGGGGGGCCAGCCGGGATTCCGGCTTCTTTGTCTTTTCCTGATTCTGCCTGTTCCACCCAACCCGTTCCGCAGGTCACCATGCCCGCCTGCAGATGCAGACGCTGGCTCGTGCCGCCGCCATGCATGGAACGGTGGGAAAAAGCAGTGCGGTGCGTGCCCAGGCTCTCCAGAGTCTCGTTTCCCATATCGCTGTTTCCCTAGCGTCCCCGTGCCAGGCTGTCCGGCCGCGCCTGTTCCAGCACGGTTTCAACTTTTCTGAATTCTGGCTGGGGCCGCGGCCGGCGATGGATGAAAGGGAGGGAGGGGAGGAGGGGGAGGAGGGGAGGAGGGAAGCGGAACAAGGAGGGAAAATAAAACCCGCATGGCCACGTGCGTACCGCGTACAACGAGGCACAGGCTTGGCCTGCAATCTCTCTTTTGGGCGTTGCCAGTCGGTCCTGTCTTTGATCAATTGTTCCAACGTCCCGGACTGGAGCCCGTGGCCGCGCGCAGTCATGGAGTTACCCAGCCAAGACGGGGACTGCCATTTTCCACTTTCATGGCCGTCTGGGTACCCGCCCGCCCGATTTGCACCTGACACGTCGAAACCCACACGCGCGCTGTCAGATGGGTTCCCCTCAGGCGAGTCGTCTACGAGGCTTGGCGCTGGCTCGGCTGGGACAGTCGAGGCGACGGGTTCGGTCGGAAGGCGGCGTGGTTCGAGCCCAAAGGGCGTGACACGCAGGGTCCACGAAACACCCGCCCATGCCCGCGACAATAGGCATGTTTCCGTTTTCTTGCTTTTCGAGATCTGCCAGGCATATAGTTTGGGTTATCTATGTTTATTTGGTTGGACACTCGTTTCCTAGGCCGGCACAGAGGCACCTGGGGTTTGCATGGGCATCCGTCACCGCCCAAGAGCTGCGGGAGCATCAGTGGGGTTGTTGCTCTGGACCAGACCTTGGGTCGATAGTTTCCGTTTGCTAATGGGCACCACCAACAGGCAGGCGGCCCTGTTTTTCTTTGGGCTAGGTGGCTAGGGAGCCTGATCTCCGGCCGAAGGCACCGCGGCTTAAACGTGGCGCTCGCCCGTGCCCGTTTTCCCGCCTGCTAAAAGCGGCCAAGACAGGCACACAAGGGCCACCCAGCGGTCGCATCCCGCCACATTGGCATTCGTCCCAACAACCAAGGGCCGGGACCGCCCCGGCTCATTAGAAGCCAATTCCCTTTCCCACCGACGGCTGGCATGTTCTTGCCTTGTCATCTGCGGCTTTACCCGCGTCTCTATCCTGCGCCAAGCCTCGTTGGTGGTTTGCGTCTTGTTCAGCAAGTGGCTTGTTCAGCAAGTACTTGATATTTGTTTATTTGGGCTCGTGGCTTTTGCTTTTGTTCGTGGCAGCCTTCTAGATTGTGCGAGCCACTCGGTTGGTGAGATGCAATGCCGGCACATCCCTCCGATCGCAACAAGGGATCACCATCCCCACAAGCCGCCTCCTGCGGGCACGGGGTGGGCCAACTGGGTTGGTGGCAGCACATCCTGTCGCGGCGTGAGGCGTGCGTTCCAGATCTACGACCAAGGCCTTCTAACGAGCCGGGCTGGCTGCAGAGCCCGTGGATGATTGGCTGCTGGCCACCAGCAGACGGCCGAATCCGGATTTGGATTGTTGCATCGAACACATCTCGAATGCCATCGATGTGGCGGCTGCATATGACTGCCTCCTGGGGCGTATCCCGCGGGGTCGAGTCCGCAGTCGACGTGCCTCGGGGCCTCGTGCTTTGGATCAACTGCATGCTGAGCACAGACATGGCCGCTTCGCAGCTGTCTTTTTTCTTCTTCTTTCTTTTTGTTTCTCCCTGTGCATGTTGGTTGCAGCAGCCTCATCACCATAGTGCCATTCATTATCCCTGATCGAGCATGCCGGACCCTGCTTTGGATTTCCTCTTCCGGTGTTCAAGGTTTCTTCGCCGTCTCCAATCCCAGTCCCCAACCAGCCCACATCGGCGGGGCGGCCCTCCACCATCAGTGGGCAAAATGCGCAATTTGATAATGATGGATGTGGTTGATTTGGGCAACACAGGGATCATCCAAATTCTCCTCGTCTTGTGCCACATGCCGCCCAGCAGCGAAAAGGGGCTTGCAGTCTGTCAGCCCGTCGCGTGCGCCTTTTTGCAGGCGGTCGGCCAGGCAGCCCATCGCCCGGTAACGCTGTGGCTGGTTGGTGGGATCGCGTTGGTCACGGCTCGATCTGTGCCAGCACATCCAATCCAGCCCAAGAGCCTCTGTCGCCGGCTAGCCGAAGATGGCCGCCTCATCAGCAGTCCACGCCCCAAGACACAATAGACCCACAATTAGCACGGCGCTCTCAATTTTGGCCCCCAGGCGCTTCCCTCCAGCCCACCCTGGCAGCGTCCCCCCACCATGCCATGTACCTATGCCATGTCTCTCGGACTCCTAATTTTTTAACCCTTCCAGTGGGCGTGCAGCGTCCCGTTGGAGCCCCAGTTCTACAGCGACTGGACGAAAAAGAACGGTGAGGTGTGGGAGTCGACAAGAGGGTGACCAAGACTGAGCGTCCCGACTGGGAAACGAGGAAATTGGACAAGGCGACAGCACAGCGTTTGTCGCGCACAGTGGCATCGCACCTTTCGGTTCGCGACTCCATTGTTCCCGCTTCTCCCCCTTTCCCTCGGGTCCTCTCTTTTCTGCTTGCATTGTCGTGACCATTCCGTATCGAACGGTGCCTATTTTGTCGGAATCATTTCTTGGGGGGTTGGGTTTTCTTTGGCTCATCGTCGAGTGGGTAAGCGCTGGAGATTGGCCTTTTTTCTTTCTTTTTTCTCTCATCATATTTCCCCCCTCGTCCGTTTCGGTAAGTAGAGTCCGGTCCCGTTCCTTCCACCCAAGTCGATTTTTGCCGAAGAGCCACAGACAGCTGGCGACGCGCACCCACCGCACCGCAGCGCACTCCCCTGAGCCCAAATCTCATCTCCCCTTGGGATTTCTGGTCGTGCCGCTTGAGCTGCCGGTGCCCGTGGCAAGACACTAGGCCGACGCTTTCACCTCCTCACCTCCGCCCCTCCCCGCAACCCTCCCAGTTCCGTTGTCGTGGCCTGTGTTTTGTCCTTTCGCTGCTCTTCCTTGTCTTCGCTGGCCATTTGCTGCGACCTCACCTGCAACCCAAGGCACCTGCGATTTGCTGCCTGGCGCTGCATCACCCTCCAGCGCAGTCGCTTTTCTTGGACTTTTTATTGCTGCTGCCTCCTGTCACCGGCCGACCCCTGCATGGTTGGATGACGCCGCTGCCGTGCTCGTTACCGCCGGTTCTGGAGGCCTCGAGGCTGACCCGACAGTCACTCTTTTCCTGCCGATAAGAGGCCAGGACAAACACGCTAGCGACCGGCTCTTTCCTGGAAGACCAAGCGATCCATCCTTGGCCATCGTCGAGTCAGCCAGATAGCCCGCGGCTCCGTCGCCGACCTCCTGCCTCGGCGCTTTCCTTCGCCGTCGCGAGCCATCTGACCGCACCCTCCCGAAAGCCTCCGTATTCCTGGCCGAGCCGCAAACCGCCGCCGCCCCAAAATGTCATACTACGAAAACTCGCAGTGGTCTGCCGGGGGGCAAACCACCTGGGAGCACCAGACTCCCCCCGCCCGCTCAGGTTCGTTTCTCCGCCGATTCCGGGCCTTTGCCGTGCTAGCATTCCATATCACACTTTCTTTGAGGCCCCAATTGACCTAGTTCTTGTGCTTTCCAGGTGCCAGCTCTACCGTCCCGCGAGAGGAGGCTGCCGCTTTTGTTTCCCAAATCGAGGGTATGTTCCTATACCCACACCTCGGGAAAAGGCGGTCGAAGCACGATGGACAGGCGCACCAGATGGGTCCGAGATGGGCGGAAACGGGTCAAACCACCCGAATCTCGGAGCTATTTGCATCACTCATCTCTACCTCGTACTCGATACCCGAGTGCGGGGGACCCCAGGGGCGAGGACGAGAACCTCTTGACGATAGAGCAATAGTCGCGAGCGGGTACTAACCAGATTTTGCGTCTTTATAGAGGTCGAAAAAGCGATCGACAACCTCGTCAAAAGCGGCAAAATGTTTACGGTGCCAGGCCGACGTGAGTCGCTCCCCGCCTACCCCAATTTCCCTTCAGGTCCTGCCAGAAAGCCTCGCCCAGGCTTTGGCGGTAAGGCTGGTTGGGCGGTGCGGTCCTGAGGAGGATGGCCGACGCAAGAGGGGACAAGCATGCGCAGCGCATCCACCTCGCCCGCCGCGTCTGCTAGAACGCCGACTGACCATTCGATCGCCCTGCCGCCTTTCCATTACCAGACAACCACAACCGCATGCCCTCCGGCCCCAGCTCGCGCCCACATTCGGTTGGCGGCTTCGAAGATGCCCGCGGGCCCCATCAGGGTTCCAACCTCTCCAATTTTTACGCAAATCAAAGACACCAGTCTTCGCGAGGCTCCAACGAGGCGGAGCAGATGATGCAGGCGAAGCGGAGGATGGCGGCTCAGCGAGAGCGAGAGCTACGCAACTATCATCAAGAGCAGCAATACAACCGAAGTAGGCCGCCCTCTGCTGCATAGCATTCACACGAGTCTCCCTCTCTTCGATCTCTCCCATTTATACCAAAGACATACCGAACAAGGAGAGAAAGAAAAAAAATCAAAAAGGAGAAACCCAACTTTCCAAGGGGAAATGGGATATACAACATGTCATGGCCCTGCGCGGCTTCTCTTGTACCATCTTGAATATCATATTAAAAGTCAACGGCCGCCGACGGTGTTTCTCTCTTGGATGCCCTGTCATGTTTCTCCTTGTCAAGTGACTTTCTTTTACATCCACACTTTGTCACATCTTTTCTTTACCGTTAGCAACGTGCGCAGCCAAGCTAACCACAACACCCTGTTCCTACCGAAACAGCGGCTGTTCTCTCGGACATGAGCAGCTACAACAAGCCCGACCGCACCTTAAGCCCCGGCAGTAACATGTCCGAGGACGAGCGGCGTGAGCTCATTGCCCGCCAGCGCAGTGCCCTTTATGGCGAAGGTCAGTTTTCGGAGGGAGGAGCCTACGTTGACGAAACCGGCGCCGTCCGAAGCGGCCCGCCAACTCACCATGTGGTTCCCTCGGCTGCTCCAGGCCTCCGCGGACCCTCGCCGCTCGCGTACGAGTACGGTCGTACCCCGTCGTCGAACCAAGGCGATGCCCAGTCACAACAGCAGCAGCCTCAGGGGCCCGGTGCCCCCGAGGGGTCTCAAGCTGCCATGGTGGCCGCCAACGACCGGTCCCGCGCCAACTCGAATGCGAGCCCCTTGTCCAACGCCGGCTCCAGGGCCGCCTTCGATGCGCCGCCGCCGCAGTCGCAGCAGTCGCAACAGGGAGGTGCGCCCATCACCAGGGCAAGCACCTCTTCGCCCAACGGGTCGCCGAGTAACAACAAGCAGTCGGCCGGGGGTGCGGCGGTCGCGCCGATCGGCACCAGGCCTTCTGGGGCCGGCTCGCCGTCAAACCCGGCGCTTGCCAACAAGCAGCGGTCGACAACTCCACTGCCATCGCCACTGAGCCACGGCTACAGCGCGTCCTCTACCGGTAACGGTGATGACAAGTCCGGCAATGTTGGTTCGTCCAACACCCCGCAGTCGGCGACTGCCGGGCCCGAGAGTGGCAATGTCGGCATCTCGGGCTGGGGCGGGCGGCCTGGCGTCTGGGGCAACAAGTCCGGCCTCGGCTCGGTCCAGGCCAGCGTCTGGGGCTAGAGTCCCCTGATGACCTAGCCGTCGCCGGGACACCCGAAGCAGAGACCGACTCTGCGGCGGTTCCAAGGACATGCTCGTCGTTTCTTTCATGACAGATTTTCTGGTGCATTTAGTGCTTCTGCGGTTTCTTCGCAGTACATATGGCGTCAGTGTCTCGCTTTGTTACTTAAATGGGGCCGGCACGGGCAAAGCAGCATTACATATATACGGGCGAAGGTGGTGGGAAGGGATGTTCTTTCTTGGGTGCGAAACATGGAGAGCAAACCAATCGGAGTCATCTTTTTGGTGTTTTTGGGACTGAGTTTGGGAACAAGTGGGTGGGCAGGAAGACAAGTTTTTGTGTTTCTCCTTAAAAAGAAGATTGGGTGCACCTGCTAGTTTGGGGGCAAAGGTGGGAAAAGGGAAGGGGTCTGCAAAGGAGGTTCCGGTTATCATCTAAAGCTTAGTTTCTTGCGCTTACAACCCCTGGTAGTAATGGTGGAGGAAATAGTGTGGCCTGGGGATACTGCTTCGTCATATTTTGGACTCTGGGGAGGGTTATATGGGGGAGTTTTTGCTTTTTTTTTCCTTGCCTGTCTTTGGTCGTCTCACATCGCTGCATGGAATTTCACGTCATCACCATAAAAAAACACATCACAAGCAGCAACCTACAACATAAGCTGGCGGGCAGGGTATCAGGGGGATAGGAGTTTATCAGAAAGAAAGCAATTGATCGGTGTTCTAGGGGGACTAGGGGTGCATATTTCTTTCTTGTCAGTACTCGTTGCCAACCGGCCAACCCGCGGGTGCCTCTTCTTTGTGGATTTGCTTGTGTCAAGAGGTTTGGGAATGCGAAGAGCATTCGATGTTCTTCTCTTGTCCTGTAGCTCTGGGCATTTAGGCTGGTGTTTTGCGCCCCCTTGGCAGTGAACGCGGTATCTCTCTTGCTGCTTCCTCTAACGCTTTCCACTCTGTCCTTTCCAGATTTGTTCAACCTAAAAACTCACAGTAAATCACGGGCCACCCATCGAGTTCGGCACATGGCATTGTTTGGCGGGAACATACGGGACGGGACGTCTCCGCACCCCGGGTCGAGAACAACCATTGCCAATGTTGGAACCCAATAGAACGGCCGCGCGGCCGTTGTGGCCGTCAGACTAGGCGTGTCTGATGGGGCCAAGGTTTCACACCGAAGCTTTGCGGTGACTGTTGCCGAGGCCTTGTGGCGACCAGCGCCGACGCGTGGCTCTTGTTCCAACGGGATGACCAAGCGGCACAGATATGCGCAGTCTGCGCTGTTTCCCTTCCGCCTCCGGGCACAGCGGTGTGTAGGACATGCCAACCACGAAGGCGGCGGGAACAACGTCAAAGGCAATATTGTATCTCTGGTGCACGTCAGTTGGACGTGTGATAGCCGACTTCGCCCGAATCACTGTGTGTTTTCTGTGACCTGGGCACCAGCGTCCGTCACCACACACACGAATGCATGGTCATTGTCGGTGGAGAGCACGAGGAGGTAAAAAAAAAAAAAAAAAAAAAAGCAATGGTCGAGGCAGGGCAAGAATAGGCGACGACTATGCCTGGTTCTGGCGTGTGTCCCCGTGTGTCCCCGCAAGGGTCCTTTTTGATGGGTGGTGCCAGGGTTCAGGTGGCCCGGGCCGGCGGCGCCCCCCACCGCCAGGGAACCGGCTCAAGGGGCAGGGGTTGTTTGTTTCCGAGCGAGCGAGCTCTCTCCCCCCGTGACGCTTCGCGGTGCGAGCGGGGAGGCCCGCGCCCTGGGCTGCCTCAAGAGCCGGGCTAGTCCCAACGACTTTTTGGTGGATTTTTTCTTCTTCTTTTTCTCTTTGCTTGTCGTCGTGTCGCGTGCTTGCGTCACCCTGTCTAGCAGATGCTGATCAGCCTTGGCAACCTGCGCTGTTTCCTCGTGGGTAGCTGTCTTGCATTGGCGTGGATGGAGATTGGATGCCAGCGCGATGGTATCAAGGTCTGCAATGGAACATGAAGCAGAATGAGGGCACAATCGTCTGGGCAGAGGTTAGGTAGTCAGAATGCTCAGCGGGCTTGGCATTCCGGAGGGAGTGGGGCAATATCAATTGAGGGGTCACCCCAAGAACGCAACGACAACGTGTCCGAGTGGTTAAGGAGTATGACTCGAATTTTCCAAATTCTGACATCATATGCTTTCGAGCGCACAGGTTCGAGTCCTGTCGTTGTCGATTTTGTGTTTTTGTGTGGTATACTTCTGTCACTGCCAGTGCAATTGGACTTTTCAGTTCACTTCTTTCTTTTGCCACCACCAACCGCACTTTCCAAAATGATGTCAAAATCGTGGATTTGAAATGGGTTGCAAAATGTTAAATAACACAAACACCAAACGCCGCTACAAGAAAATGGTTACTTCCCTTTGCCATGCAACAAAAACACGCTCCATCCAGCAATGCAGTGATTCGAACCCGCCACACACATGCCCTTAAAAGCCGAGGATCTTGACGCCCATGTCGAGGTCCATGACGTCGTCGGCCCGCAGCGCCTTGCCGCCCCAGACGACGGTGCCCCTGCCGTCCATGGCGAAGGCGCCGGCCTGCTGCCACTTGTTTCCCAGCGCCGTCGACGGGCCCACGTCCTCCTCGGCCACCTCGGGCTCGGGCTGGCCCTGGGGGGCTCCCCCCTTCTTGCCGCCCGCCAAGCCGCCCGTGTTTGACCTCCCCAGCCTGTTGCTGCTGTTTGGCTGCGAAGACTGGGTGGCGGCGCGACCGTCAAAGGTGCCCTTGCGCTGGATGGACGTGGCGACCGTGTTGCCGAGCCAGCCCTTCTCCTTCCAGCCCTGGATCTGCGTGGTCGGGTTGAAGAGGTACCACGTGTTGCCGAGCCCGAGGCCCCAGGCCGCGTAGATGGCGCGCTCCTCGTCGACGACCACCTGTACCTGCCACGCGCCGCCGAGCAGGTCTAGCCACTTCTTGGTCGCCTCGGGCGACGAGTGCGAGACGGCGATGCAGCGGAGCGTGCCCTGGTGGCGGTTGGCGAGGGTGCGGAGGTGGAGGAAGGTTTTTTGGGCGACTGGTTTTGTTTTGGAGCAGTTTTTTTTTGTTAGTGGGATGTTTCTAGATGCGCGCGCGTCTGCTGAAATGGCGACGATCAAGTCGAAGAAGAAAAAAAAAAACTCACAGGCACAACCGACACAGCGCAAAAACACAACCAGCACCCTCTTCCCGCCGCCAAACTCGATCTTGCGGTCGCGGTCCAGCGGCGCCAGGTCGCCCACCTTTGGCGCCTCGGCCGCCACGGGCACGGCCGGCGGCGGCGGGTTGAGCCAGGCCTGCGCCGTCAGCGGCAGGCTCTTGACCGTCATCCACTTTGGCCAGCCGCCGTTGGCGGCCGCGCCGCCGCCGTCTTCGGGCTCGGTCCCCGGTGGGTTCTTGCGCAGCTTGTTGGGCTCGGAGCTGGGCCCCGTCAGGGCCGACATGTCGAGCGCGTCGCTCGGGATCCCCAGCTTCTTCATGGCCACCTTGCCCGCCAGGCCGGAGAACATGATTGGCGGTGTGTGTGGGTGGGTGGATGGATGGGTGGGTGTTGGCTGTGGGCGGTTGGGTTGGGTGACGGGTCGGTCCCCTGGCAGTGCTAAGTGTAGATAGCTACGTTTGGAGGCAAGACGCGCCTCGTGTCGTCGTGCTTCGTGATTGTGTGCAAGATGGCAAAGAATGGAAAACAAGAAAGGAAACCCAGTTCTGGATCTCGCCCAGCAGCTACACTATCTTAACCCTTGACCACCTGTGGCCGATCAAGCACGCTCGAGGCTCAGGCCAGTCGATTCTGGACCACGCCCGATTTCCACCTTGTTTGACACAGGGGGCGTCGCAGCCCGTCCCGAAACATTCCTCCTGGCGTCCATTGGTGTCACCAACCCACCCCCTGAAGGGAATCGCGCGCACGGGCCAGAGAGCTAAAATTGGGCACTAAACGGCGGACCGAACCCCGGTCGTCGTCTACCATCTGAAGGGTGATGGGGTCGAGCAAAAAAAAAAAAGAAGAAAAAAAGAAGAAAAAAAGAGAGACGGTCATCGCCCACACGCATGGCCAACACGTGCGCGCCCGCGCGAGCGGCTCCGTTCCGATCGCCTCGACGCATCCATGCCCCCGGAAACGGGAGGGCGACGTTTGCTGCAACGAGATGGGCATCGTTCATGCGATCCGGCCGCTCGGTTCGGTGCAGCCCCATGCGCCCGTCCGTTGCTGCTCGGGGCCGTGCGCTTGCTGTTGGCGGCTGCTGTTGGCTGGAGATGGCACAGTCCACAGCGCCACAGCCATCCCTTCAACAGATAGCCCAATGCATAATCCATTGAAAGGGTAGACTAATCAGAACTACGAGCTCAGTCGTATTGGGCCTTGTAGTATCCCCTGGACATAATCGAAGCTATACAAGGACTTGTAGATATACTTGGCCTCGTAGGTTGGTGCGCCGACCAGGGATCCCATACGTAAATATCCAGATTAGAAAATAGTGGTGGGTATGAAACGAGGGAACTAAAAGAACAACAGTCATCCGTCAGGAGCAAGTCATCCAAATCCACATTGTCGAACCCCCAACAGCAACGGAAACGAAATGGCAAACCGAGCGGCCTACACCCACACTGTATCACCGCCTCGCCAACCACCCCTCATCAAACAGCGCCGTCACTACCCGCCTCACCCACGAGCCCCTGCTTCCTTGCCAGGTTGAGGGCCTTGAGCTTGGCGGTGCCGATGCCCGCGACACCCTCCTCCTGGTTGTCGCCCAGCCAGGGCTTCTTGGACTCGCCCAGGATGCTGCCGGCCAAAAAGTAGATGACGAGCCCGAGCACGATGAGCACGAAGCTGACGGGGTACAGCTGGCGCACGACCAGACCAAACACGTTGACGCCGATGAGGACACCCCAAAAATTGCTCGTCAGCAGGCTGATGTTGTAGAAGCCCGCGCTCGCCATGCGCAGCACCAGCGGCACCAGGCTGTAGAAGAGGAAGAGCGCGAACGTGAAGCCGGCGAGGTAGCCGCCCACGGCGGGCGACCACTCGGCCGTCTCGAACTGGGCGCGGTCAAAGATGGCGGCCTGGACGCCGTTGATGAGCACGCCAAAGACGCCCAGGAACGACAGCACCTCGTAGACGGGGCGGCGGCTGACGAACCACTCCTCAAACACGTTGCTGAGGCCGTAGCACGTGGCGCCGACGAGGGCGAACAGGTCGCCCTTGAGCATGTCCTCGCCGTCGCCGCCGTTCTGGCCCGCAATGTGGTCCTGCGCGATCAGCAGGCCCATGCCGCCGCAGGCCAGCAGGATGCCCGCAATCTGGAAGACGCGGTACCGCACCTTGAGCACCAGGAACGACAGGATCACGACGCACACGATGGCCCAGAAGTTGATGAGCTGGGCCGACAGGATGTTGGTATAGCGGTACGCCAGCACCGTGAAGTAGTTGCCCTGCACGTCGAGGAAGCTCAGGATGAAGTACTTCCAGCCGTCGCGCAGCCACACGCCGCCCAGCCGGCGGGGCCCGTAGCGGTACAGCGTGACCGTCAGGTAGACGGCCGTGAGGAGCACGTAGTTGAAGATGGTTTGGAAGGCGGGGATCGACACCTTTGCGCCGCTCAGCAGCTGGCTGAACGTGTTGGTCGACGTGATGCACAGTGACAGCACCTGGCCCAGTCCCAGAACGACCCAGAAGTCGACCGTCGTCAGGTACGAGTACCAGTGCACGCTGCGCGCCTCCATCTGGTGCAACGCCTGGCCCACGGCCGCGTCTTGGTCCGCGTTGGCCGCCGCACCCGAGCTCGAGCCCGAGGCGGGCATGTTGGTGTGCGTGTCGACGACATCGGCCTCGAGAGCCTTGTTGTCCATGTCCTTACGGGCGGCCATGTTGACCGACTGTTGGGATCCCCGCGGGGTGTTTTCTCAAACGATTATGTTTTGTTGTTTGGACTCGTAAACAGTCCAGTCTTTCTTCGTCCCCTGTAGCAAGCGCAAAGACTCAAGTCGCTTGCCGATGGTATCAAGGCCGCAGCGGGCAGCGACACATGCGGTGGTGCGACGCCGTGGAGAAGAGAGGAGGGCTGGAGAGGCGCGAGGGCATGGAGAAATAATACTCAACCTCCGGCCAGAGAAGCCCAAACCTTGCGGATGCAAAGGTCAATCGGGAAGGGGCAGCTGGGTGGCGTCACGGGGCGTTTTTTTTTGTCGACATGCAGGACGCAGGTGGCAGGCGCGGCACGAGTAAGTTTACTGAATCTTTTGGCACGGCACCCACCCGCCTTTGAATTTTTTTTTTTTTCATTTTTTTTTTCATGGAGCGAGCCTCGACCGACCGAACGGGTCGACAGTGGTCCCGCAGTGGGGGATGTCCACACCACCAACCGCCGATGGAGGATGTGATGGTCGTTGCCCACATATGACGACGGTCTGGTGCTGAGCGGGGGTTGATGAGCGCCAAGACCTTTTAAGCTGGATGCCCGTCTTTAGCAACCCCAACGCGGCAAAAGCGCCGGACGTGCAGATCCACATCGTCGCTCCAATAGCCAGCACCGGTCCGGTCCGCAGAATGGATTGATGACGAGCTGGAGGCCTGCTATCCGTACGCCGTATGTTGACGGCCTACATAGGTACCCAGAGACTCTTGGAGATATTTCTGTGCTACCGCACGTTACACTAGCTGGTCGTGCCGTCATGGCTTACAGATAAGAGCACTATTCTCCATGTCCCCATCTACCCCACGCCATCCCAAGGTCTGGACTAGGCTAGCCTTTGGTGGCTGTCTTGGGATGCTCTGCTATTGGCTTGGCCCGTCGTCAGCTCGCCTGCGGGCGCCAACCTAGCACATCACGCCAACCGGGCAAGCCACTGATCAAATGTCTGAAAGCAAATTACATTATGTATTATCCTAAACGCCTGTCATGATCCCACGACCACTATCGAACAGCTGCACCAACCAACGCCTTGTATCCTGGAAAATGAATGGGGGTATTGTTAAAGAGTATGGTATGTGGTAGGACCGTGGATGGAACCTCGGTGCTCGGCTTCGTCGTTCCTCCCAAGTCGTTTGTTTACACACCGGCTATCCAAGAAAATAAAGATGATTGTGGAATGAGTGTAAAGTTACGGCCAAACATAGAGAAGCAACAAATGAAACAGTAGGGATGAAGCAGAGGAAAGCGGAGTGGCGTGCTATATGAAGCGATTGCCAAACCGATCTGCGATGCCCGTTGGCGCTTCAAGTCCGTGATCGGGCCGGCGGTGAGAGGCCGGCATCTCTGGCAGAGGGGTTCGCTGGCTCTGTCCGCCCCACGCGGTGTTGCCTTCTTTGAAACCCTGCCTCTCCCGCTCGTAGCGGAGGCTCAGACCCCTAGCCATGCCGATGGTGCCCGAGCCTGCTCCGGCAGTCTTGGGCCGTGGGTCGTCGCACGCCGCCATGGGGGTTGTCAGACTCCTCGTTGGCGTGAGGGGCGGCACTGTTGGCGACGGCGTAAAAGGCCCGGCCGGGATCTCGTCGGCGTACTGCTGCGCGCTAAATAGGTTCAGTGGAGGGGGCACATGGTGCCGTTGCGGCTTGCGTACCGACGCCGTCGAGGCCAGGCCGATACCCAAGGCATTGTTGTCTCCATCGTGGCCTCCCTCGTGACCCGGCCCGCCAGCCGTCCGTGGACGCTGTGGAGGGGCCTGCACCGTGAGAGTAGGGGCTGGGAGTGGCCAGTTTGGATTGTCCATCATTGGTGCAGGCGTGGCAGGGGCAGAAACGCCACCACTACCAAATACGTTGTCCTTGGGAAATAAGGGGCTGGCTAAGGGCGCGGCGAAATCATTGCGCCACGCGCCACCTTCCGAGTTTGAGCCCCATGGCTGCTCCTGCCCATGGCCCGGCCGCAGCTGCTGTTGCTGTGGCCGCGGAGGAGGGTGTAGCGCTTGCATCGACTCTGCCTCATCCGACGGCGCTCGCCGGGACGACGCCGGCGACGCGCCATCCGCCCTCTTCGCTCCCACGGCTGCCCTCGGCGGTCCACGGTTCATGCCCCTGTCAGAATTGGAGGAGAACACGCCATACTCCTCAGGACCAGGTCGGCGGGGTGTACTCGGCCCCCGCACCACGGGTCCGGGTGTATTGAGTAGAGGGCTCGATCTACCGGTGCTGGATTGGGCCGATTGTTGTCGACTGAGATCCATGACTGGCGGCGACTCTGAGCGGTAAGTGTTCACCTCGACCGTAGCAGACATCCCAGCGAGGCTCTTATCCTTGGGCCCCCAGTAGCCATTGGGATTTGAGCTGTTGGGCCCGTTGCCGCGCTTAGGGAAAACAGGTAACGGACCAGTGCCCATCGGGCTCGCTGTCGGTCCCGCGACCCTCATAGGGCTTCGTGGGGGAGGGTCCTGCGCATATGGCCTTGGCGGTGGTCGGTCAACCGGGCTCTCGGCTCCCACTCTATCCATGGGGCTCTCGGCCCTTGGCCCATGGGCAGGAAGCCGTCCCATTGGGCTCTGGGCGCGGGATCCAGGACCCGCAAACGGCAGAATATGGCGTTGATCATTGCGCATTTGCGGCGACTGAGCACGACCTTCGTAGTCCCTCAACGGCATGCTTCTCGACTCAGGGCCACCTGAGGGGACGCCGTTTGTCAGAGCGCCATGGCGCATGGGGCTTTGTGACCTTGGCCCACGGTTATCGGCAAAGCCAGGCGAGGGTCTCCGATCATCGGGGTGCATAGGGGACAGACTGGGGCCGGCGCCGACACTGACGCCCCAGACAGCAGCCTGCCAGTTCATTCCGTTGTTGCGCATTAGCGGCGCTGCTGTGCTGCCACTCCTCATCCGAGCATCGTCGCCCTGCGGCCGTATTGTCACAGCAGCGGCGGCAGCTGCCTTATTCTTCTGCTCCGACTCCTGCTGCGCACTAACCAGTGACTTCTCGAGCTCTTCAATCTTCATTGATAGGCTCTGCCGTCTTGGGCCGCTGATTGTCAGCGTATCGCGCTTCGCGGCCACGTCGCGGATCACAGGCTTTGTAAACTCCAATGCGTCCGACTCATCCCAAGGCTCGCTCTCGCCGCCCAATGTGTGGTTGTCATGATTATCATGGTGATCGTGGCTGTCGGCGTCGGTGTCGTTGTCGTTGTTTGCCATGGGTGCGCTGTCCTGGCTGCCACCGCGCTGGGATAATGCCGGCGAAGGTAAGGCGGCGGGTCCGAAGCCCTTGTGCTGTGGATGCAGCTTGTGCCCAGTGACCGATTTGTCTTTGACGCCGTTTACGGATCGTGGAGGTGATGGCAGTGAGCCTGTCGGGGGCGATGACGGAGGCCCAAGAGGAGATAGCGGCAAGCCCATACCGGTCGGCGGCTTTACCGTAAAATTCGTGGCGATAGGAGAGCTAAGAGCCGAGGCGACAGCGCCGGCCCTGCTTGTGGTGGACTCAATGTCATCATCGCCCATCAGCGACCCCGTTCCGTCCACGTCCACCTGCAGCTCAAAATTGCCGAGGGGTGATTTTGGGCCAGCCGGCACGGCTCTGTTGAAGTGGACATCAAGAGGGTTGACCCAAGGCTTGTTCTTGCGATCCCCTGCCGACGTGGTCGGTCGGCCGGCGGCCGTGCCCGGGCGCAGACCCACCGACGGAGTTGCGAGGCTGGTCGACGACGAGTTCGCCCAGCGCATTCCCAGATTCACATCCGAGGCTGAGGATTTGAGGCCGGTGCCAGGAGCCTCGATGGTCCAGCTGGTGCCGGGCATGTTGGACAGATCTCGCATGCTCGTGGCGGCAAAGTTGTGGGTCTGCATGGCGTAGGGCGAATTCCGCATAGAGCTCGACGTGCCTGGGCGCGAGGGGAACTGCGAGGGGAACTCGCGCATGCTCGGGCTGAGCGCCGGCTTGCTCTTCACATTGTTACCGAAGTACTGTCCCTCCCCGAATGTGTTCTGGTCCACCTTTTTCTTCTGAGCCGGCGCGGGAGCAGCCTTCGCTGGCTCGGCCTTTCTGCAGTGCGCCAAAAATGACTGGTCAGCATCCACGCTGTGAGATATCATCGGCGTGGGTGGCAGGGCTTACTTTTTCTTCCCAAGCCCAAAAAAGGATACCATCTTGAATGGCCGTGATCGACTATAGTTCGAAAAAGTTGCTGGTGAAAGCAAATTCTGCGACGGAAGTTTGGGTCAGTAACAATTTGGCCCCTTTCTTCAATGACGTTGAAAGTTGGCGACGCGGTTCGGATTGCATTCCAGTCCAGATTCAGGACACCGACCTAATTGGCACGTCCCCGGCGAGGAAAATTGAGCTCCCAGCACAGCGCAGACTAGAGCCCTGCGAATGGCGCCTCGTATACAAAAAATCGGATGCGATAGTGTGCGTAAAAGGAAGGCTGGGCGCCTCGTGATCGGTCGGTCGGACGAGTCGTGAAAAGGAGTGGCTGCTCGAGCGCTGCTGGCGATAAGTGGGCGAGCCAATAACAAGCCGGGGTGCGGCCAAAGGAGTGAATGGAACGAGCAAGCCAGCAGGATATTTGGCCTGTGTTTCCAGATGAGAAAAAAAAAGAAAGAAAAAAAAAGGCACTTGCTAAAGTCCCATGGCCGTGGAAGTGGGCGCTAGTCAGAGGGGGAAAAGCAAGAGCCGGAAACAAACCGCAGGAAGCAAACACCTGGACGGGAGCGAAAAAAGGCGACAGGCAGAACGCTGGTGTTTGCACGCGATGCAGGCGGACGAGAAGGGGCAGGTGGGAGAAAAAGAAGGACCCGACGCGACTCTTCCCTGTCCAGCGCGGGTGTGTGCGCCTGCCGAAATGGGCAGATCCCGAGGGGCTCCTGCTTTGGAAAGCGCGACCGGGGGCGATGCGGCAAAGGCTTTGACTTGGGGGTGGGGGGTTCCCAGTGGTTCCTCTCGTTTCAGAGCAGTTGGGCGCGTGGTCGCATGGAAATCGGCGGGTCAGTCAAGCAATGGTAATTTCGCCGATCGCCTGCGGATCGCTGAGCCCGACGGCCTTGTGCTGTTGCAATGTCTGGTCGGGTATGCCGCCAGAGCCGACGAGGGTGGGGAGGAGTGGGAGGGGAGGAGGAGGCAAACGGGAGAGAGAGGCGAGAAAGGCTCCAAAGAAGACGAGCAGTCGGGCTGGGCGACGATGCGGTGGGCTGTCGGCTCCTGATATGATTTAGTAGCAATACGAGAGAGCTTGAGAGCTAGGGCAACAACACGAAAGTCTTCAAGCAGCATCAGGGTGCAGAAAAAGGGACAGACGCACATGTCCTGCAGCGACAAGAGAAGAGGCAATCTCAGCCCAAGCCGCATCAACACACGCTAGCGGCCAGGGGGGATTTCCTGATTGGGACAAAGAGGTGCCCACAATAGCGATCTCCAGCTGCAGGTCCCAGATGCGCCTTGTCAGGGGTAATATTAGGGACTTGGATGGGAGGGCGATGACAGGAAAAGGGGGCTAGCGGCTCACGCCAACAGCGACCCCCGCACTCCTGCATTGCTTGCTTGCATTGCTGCGTGCGTCGGCTGTTTTTATCCCTCACCCAGGCTGTTGCGGCGTGTGCTCTGCCATCATGACGCAGGCGACAAGCAACGCGGTCCGCCCAGCTGGACGGGTCGGCAAGAGGTGACGAAAAAGCCGAGACAAAAAACGAAAATCATGATGGAAAAAGACTGGAACACTTCCCGCTCGCCAAGGGGAGCGGAGGACCCCGTCAACAAAGAGGCATCTGGCAGGCGGCCCCATGGATTTTGGCCGTGCGAGCTGTGGCCCAGGCTGCTGGCTCTGCCGCTACCCGAAATCCCTGCGGCGACGTGCCTGTGCTTCATTTTACTCTAGATGCCACGTTTGATGAGAATCAGTCCCGCGGCCTTGCGTCATTGGAAGTCTCCGCGTGCAGTGTCCACGGCCCTATGGGTAATGATACCATGGTTCCTCGTCGAGCAGTGTGTCCCAACCACGGACATGTTTCACGCATGATGAGAGCCTCTCCTCTCGGGGGCATTTCAGCCATAGTTGGGGGGCTGTCGCACTAACTTCGATGCTCCACAATTGATCAAATTGATAGCCCCAAAAGCTCACTTGTGCTGTGCCTACAAATGCTGTGGCTTGACACCTGGTTCGATAGCTCATGTTGGGTTGACAGCCGGTCTTCCAGGAACATCCTCGTCCCCTGCTTAACCTGCGCATCCCGTACGGGGCAAGGCACGGGCAGGCCTTTGGGGCAAAGTTTCAGCTGCCAGCTGAAGAACAGGTACGTGGCGAATAGCTGGAGCATTTCTTTTGTTAAATGATGCCATGCGCAATTTCCTACGGCGGTCTGTCGATTTTGTGTGACCATTCTGGAAGGCAACAGAAAGAAGAGTGGACAACCAACTGGCCGTCGGGTCAGGTGGCTCTCGGGCTCCAACTGCCGCCTCGGCAAACACAAGCGTATCCAATGACAACGTGTCCGAGTGGTTAAGGAGTATGACTCGAATTTTCGAATTCAGAAATCATATGCTTTCGAGCGCACAGGTTCGAGTCCTGTCGTTGTCGATATTCTTTTACCTTTTTTAAGTGCAACTTGTTTTTTTTCCCACCCTTTTCAACCCTTTGCGTAATTCTATCCACTAGTCAAATATCGATCTAGTGCACGAACCTATACATATTGGACACGCTAGCCACCCTCCCCGGGCGGCGAATTCCTTTATTCGCGATGGTATCCTGCTAGCAGTTATTGATTAAAATTAGCAAGACTTGAATGTTATCCCATCAAACTGCTACGCACCGCGACGCGATGCCACCCCCCACTGTGTTCAATCCAGACACCAACCTCGCGCAATGATAAACCCTCTTTTATCCTATCATTAAGAGCTGTCCCATATAATCTCCTCAGCTGCCGCTGCCGTGCTCGGGAGCTATCCCTGTTGGGCAGGTCGTTGCGGGCATCGGGCCTGGGCACGATCACGTCATCGAGGCTAGCATGGATTGCAGGCTGCCTGCTGGAGGCTGTCCCGTCCTCTGAAGCCCGCCCACTGGACGATGCCACCCGCCAAGCACCATAAATTGCCCGAAAGGCTGGTGGGGGGCTTTGCACCTGCCCAAAAAAACTGCTTGCGTTATAAACCCCCCGCGATGGCGTGCCAAGTTGGTCTCGTCCTTTGGGATATGCGCTGCATCCAACCTTTTTTCTTTTGCTTTGTTGGTTGCAACGCCGCCACCACCGCCTGTTTCTTCGAATGCTACCATGCCATGTGCCATTTGCTGATCCCGCTGTTGCTGCGGGCGGGGTCAGACGAAAGAAAGTCTGGCCCTGATGGGCTGCCCAGACAGAAATAAATACGGCCATCTGCCCTTCCCCCACCTCTTTTCCACCTGTCCTGGTCATTGGATCCCTCCTCTCAGTTGACGTAGGCCACTCCCGCCCCGGCCATCGACATGTCCAAAAGACACGGTGACGAGGGCGTTGTGCCCGCCAAGGGCGATGGCTCGCCGCACGATAGCTACGTCGTCAACGACCCCGACTCGGAAACGGCCGGTGTCCAAGCCTATGCCTATGACGAGAAGCAGAAGCTGGGCGTCACGGGCGCCGTCTTCCTCATCCTCAACAAGATGATTGGAACGGGCATTTTCTCCACCCCGTCCAGCATCTTCGCCGCCACCGGCTCCGTTGGCATCAGCCTAATGCTGTGGGTTATCGGCGGAGTCCTGACCTTTGCCGGTATCAGCGTCTTTATGGAGTTCGGACTCGCCATCCCCCGCTCAGGAGGCGAGAAGAACTACCTCGAGCGCGTGTACCGTCACCCGCGCTACCTCGCCTCGTGCGTCCTGGCCTCGCAGATGATCCTGCTGGGCTTCTCGGCCGGCAACTCGCTCGCCTTTGGCCGCTACGTCCTTTTTGCCTCGGGCGGCCTCGGCCAGTCATCGCCTGACGGCTGGCAGGCCCGCGGCATCGGCGTCGCCTGCATCACCTTTGCCGTCCTGCTGCACATCACGCTGCCCAAATGGGGTATCCGCCTGTTCAACGTGCTGGGCGTCTTCAAGGTCATCGTGCTGCTCATCATCGTCTTCTCCGGCTTTGCCGCCCTCGCCGGCCGTCGCCTGGTCGATGACCCCCGCAACTTCGAGAACGCCTTCGCCATCGAGTCGGGCGACGGCTATGGCGGCGGCGGCGCCTACGCCTACGCGAACGCGCTCCTGAACATCGTATACAGCTACAAGGGCTGGGAAAACGCAAACTACGTGGTCGGCGAGCTTAAGAACCCGCGGAAGACGCTCGCAGTTGCCGCCCCGCTTGCCGTCGGCGGTGTCACCATCCTCTACGTGCTCGCCAACGTTGCGTACTTTGCTGCCATCCCCAAATCGGATCTGGCAAAGTCCGAGGTCATCGTGGCCGGTCTTTTCTTCCGCAACGTTTTCGGCGCCTCGTCCGCCGTGAGCGCGCTCCCCGCCCTCGTCGCGCTTTCCAATATGGGCAACGTTTTGGCGGTCAGCTTCGCCCACGCGCGCGTTAACCAGGAGTTCGGCAAGGAGGGGCTGCTGCCCTTCAGCCAGTTCTGGGCCTCCATCAAGCCCTTCAACACGCCCGCAGCTGCCCTTTTCCTGCACTGGATCGTGACCGTTATTGTGCTCCTGGCCCCTCCCGCCGGCGCCGCCTACAACTTTATCGTCAACCTGTACACGTATCCGGGCGCCTGGATCAACGCCTTTGTGGCCGCCGGCCTGATCTACCTGCAGTGGAACAAGCGGGAGAACTGGACGAGCCCGTGGCACACATACCTGCCCATCAGTGTTCTGTACCTACTGGCCAACATCTTCCTGGCCCTGGTGCCCTTCATCCCGCCCGAGGGCAACTGGAACGAGGACGGGTACCCGTACTACGTCTTCCCCATCGTCGGCGTTGGCGTGCTCGTGCTGGGAGCCATTTACTGGCTCGTCTGGACACAGGTGTGGCCGCGGCTAGGCGGCTACCGCATCGAGGCCGAGCGCATCATCGACGAGCACGGGGACGAGGTTATTCGGTACCGGAAGGTGCACCTTCACTAGGGCAGTTGGTCTGGGATTTTTGTTTGTTTCCGCAGGATGGGCCTTGGCCCTTTGGCGTTTGGATGAGAAGATATGTGAATTGCTCGAGAGGACCCCTATCGCTTTTATTCTGATATTTAGCGCACGACATAATACCCAGCCCAGCATTTCCTCCCGTGTCTTGACATCTTGACTACCCCTGTGCGTTGCTGGGAGCCCTGATATCAGCAGTTGGTGCCCGCGCTTGGCGAGGACGTGGAAGCGAAACGTTGCAAAGTGACCGGTTCTTGCGACTTGCAGCAACAGTTGTAAGTGCCAAGTGCCTTGTTATGACGTAAAAAAACATGCTAATTGTGACTAAACTTGATGCATAGGCAACTCTTAACTTAAATCACCGTGTCGGTTCTATCTTTGTGTGTCGCGGGCCCGATTCTCCAACTGGTGTTCTGATCTGTATCTGACGACGAGCTCTATAGCGCGGTAAGGAGATATTGAAGTCTCTCGCAGAAAGTACGAGCCACTGGACTTTGGGTTGCGGTCAGCTAATACAGCCATAAATTCATGCCCACCCCGCACCATCTCGGAACTTCTCGACGCAACGATTGTAGGTCTCTAACCCCTGAACCCGGCAAGCAGTTACCGGCGCTAAAACACTGTCTTCGAAATTGCGCGGCAGTTTGGCAGTCAAAAGGGTCTCGTCCAAGAACGTTCACTCAGGGAGACGCCTAGCCAGAACCGGCGACCGAGAGGGACAGCCGAGGCGGGCAGGCTTGGCATTCCAAACTGCTTTGTAATGCCTCCCCCGGCAGGGACCTGCCCACTGGCCTCGGAGCGAGCCGGCCGTCGGGAAGGGCAGACGGGTGTGGATGACTTGCCCGGCACCGACCGCGCCCGTCAGCGCCCGCGTCTCGCCTTCCTTGTTTCCGCTTTGCTGCCAAGGTTCACGTCAACCCGGCGGCTGATGCGATGCGCCAAATTCGCCCCCGACGTGACCGCAACGGAGGCCGGGCAGGGTGGAAGCGGGCATGTCTATGCCCATGTCCATGCCCACCCTTGACCATTCTGGTGATACAAAAACAAAGCTTGTGGTGTTTTGACGCCGCCATCCCTGGCGATACGGCAACTCTCTCCAAATCCCCCCCTGGGCGGGCAAGATGGACAGCGAGGCATTTTGACGGCACACACACGCACACCCCCGGCAGTTGACCCCCGGGACTGCCGTCGAGGCCGGGGTTCCCCCGCTCAGGTGGTGGGACAGTTTAAACTCTAATTCTCCTCCCACCTCGTATCACGGCGTAGCAGTCGCGGTTCAGACAGGCCAAAGGCAAACATCTTTCTCGTCCTGAGGCCCCTGTCCTCGCCCGTCCCCTCTTTCTGACCGTCACGCATCCTGGATTGGACACTTCTCCGCTGCGGGTGCTGCCCTGCCCTGCGCCATGCGTTTATTTGTTTTCCCTTCTTTCAATGATGCATTTCCCCCATGCCCGTCTCGTCCCGCTCAAGATGCGCATCCTGTCTCGTCCGCTGTTTTTACTTACTGTTTGCTTTTGTTGTTGTTACCGTTAATATTGACCGGCTTTAATCGACGACAGCCAACCAGAAGACTGTTCACCGCCCGGACCGCCAGCTCTGGCCTGACAGACATCCAGGTGTAGTAATAGTCCAACCGTCCAATTGCGGGCGACCACGACCGGTGTGGGAGGGAAGCGCCGGTTGGACAAATCCCCGCACGGAGTGACGCCCCCGTTCGCATAGGCTGGCTACCCGGACAGCGCAGTTGAGCACGCCCGAGAGGGCACGAGGAACGCGGAGGGAGGCGGGGGGGAATGGGGAGAGGAGGGAGGAAGAGGGGGACTAAAGACAAAAAAAGAAACAAGGCAAGATGGCAAACGAGGGCGGGCTTCTCGACCAGTTCTTGGCCCGCGACAAAGCGTTCCCCGGAGAGCTCTGGGCCTGGTTCTGCATCGGCACCGTCATCATGATCCTCCGTTTCGTCGTCAGGCTCCGAATGGTAGGCGCGGCCGGGCTCGCGGGAGACGATTACTTTATGGTCCTGGTGAGTACCTGGGGCACACCCGCTGCCCTAACCCCCTCCGCCGTCTGGGTGCTAACGGCGCCGCATAGACCTTTGCCTTCCACGGGGCCTTGGTCACCATGGCACTTCTGATCTGTGAGCTAGCTCTGGGCTTGTTTATTGGAAGAGGTTGTGCGAAAAGGCACCCACTGACAGCAGTATCATAGACCAGTACGGGACCAACGTCGACCTCGGACAGGCCGAAATCGACCGGCTGTCCGAAGACGAGATACTGCAGCTGGGCGAGGGGTCCAAGTACCTGCAGGTCTCGTGGTATCTTTACACGTGCTTCCTGTGGTGCATCAAGGCCTGCGCCCTATCGTTCTAGTAAGCCAGGGAGCGCAACCTCTGCCACGAAGGCGTATGGGCGTGATGGGGCTGACAGCGGTGGCTATAGTCGTAGATTGACATTTTGCCTCTGGCAGAACACGTGGGTGTTCAAGGCGCTCTGCTGGTTCACGTTCTTGTCGTTCTTCGCCGTGATCCTTGTCATCTCGCTGAGCTGTTTACCGTAAGCGCTATGCTAGCTTCCCATTCTGCAACGGCCGACTGCATGAGCTAATGGATATCTACCCATCACCAGCTACGACAACAACTTTCTGGTCCGGCACCTTCCGCCGCCAGAGTGCCGGTTCCAGAAGCAGAACCTGGTGGCCGTCGTGGTCTTGAGTAAGGGGCAACAAAAGCACGTTGCGTTGCATAGAACAAACATGGGCTAACCTCGTCCACTCACCAACCAAAAAACAGACGTGCTCACCGACTCGGCCATCCTCGTCCTCCCCGTCCCCGTGCTCCGGGACCTGCGGCTGCCGTGGTTCAAGAAGCTCGCCATCGGGCTGCTCATCTGCTCCGGCTTCTTCGTCATCGCGGCCGCGGCCGTCCGGCTGGCGGCCACGCTGGACGCGGCGCCGTCGGCCGTCACCATTGTGCGCTGGGGCGTGCGCGAGTGCGAGATCGGCCTCCTCGCCCTCAGCGCCCCGGTCCTGCGCCCGCTCTTCTCGCGGAAGCTGTGGTGCGGCGGCGGCGGCGGCGGCGGCGGGCGCGGCGTGGGCAACGACAGCGCCGCCGGCAACGACGACGACGATGGCGGGCCGAGCTGGCGCGGCGGGGGGAGGAGCTGCTTCTCGTCGTGCTGGGGCGGGGGCTCGGGCGAGGCGACGTGGGACGTGGAGGCGGCCGGGCCGTCGAGCGCCGACTCGCCCGGGAGGTCGCGGCAGCAGCAGCGGCAGCAGCAGCAGATGGAAGAGCAGCTGGAGGGGCAGCTGCGGGATGCTGGGCGGTGGACAGGACAGCGGCAGCAGCAGCAGACCGGGGAAGAGGCTGCTGGGTCGCGAACAAACGCGGGAGATGAGGAAAAGCACAAGGACTGCGGCGGGGACGCCGCCGGGGACGGCGATTTGGACACGGAACAGACCGGGCCATCGCCGCCGCCGCAGCCAGTCGATGCCGGCGACGTGACGATGGTGCCTACGGCGCCGGAAGCTGGCGTCGTCCGCGCCGGGGCCGTGGAGGGTGGTGCAGGGAAAGGGGGGCTGTGTAGGTCAAGGCTATTTTGCGGGGTGGACGGGAAGGGCAGGGAAAAGGGGAGGAGAGGCTTGATAGCGCTCCGGCAGTTATCAACATGACGATTCCAGCAATGAGCTGTGCCATAGGGGTGGCCATGCCTCCTGGACTTGGTGCCTGTGTCTGAGGGCAGTACGACAGAGTGCTGTCGTATCTTCTATGCTTGGTAATTTTATTAGGGAATCCATAATGCCGCATGGCCTGCTGCGGCAGAGGCAGCGGGCTGGGTTGATGCTGGTCTAAGATAAAAGTTCTACCTGGGCGGGTGACATTCATGGATGGCCCCTATTCGCATCCCGCTTCGAAACACAACAGCAACTGGATCTTGCTCATGGTTACAGCTGGTTGCGAAGTCCCTTGATCGACGAGCCGGGTATGGGGACCACACACGATCAATGTCGAGAAAGAGAGAGGGGTTGCTTTAGCTGCCCGGGCTGAGGATCGCGCAGGATGGATTTTGTACCGAGTCTGAGACGTCATCGGGTGATTTTGTCAGATGTTTTACCAAGTTGAGTGGAATGTATGTAGTTCTCTAGAATACCCATCTGTACCGTTACTTTCCGAGATCATGGTCATTAAGACCCAACACGTTGTGCTTTCCACAGAACCACGCTCGATACCTCCTCTCCCTCTTATACACACTATATACCCCCGGGCATCCACGGCCCCCCTCAAGCAGACTCCTCGACCAGCTCATAGCTCTCCCTCAGATCCCCAGACGGCGCGGGCCGGGGCACGGTGTCGAGCGAGCGGGGCCCGATGTCCGGGCGGCGGAGCAGGTCGGCGGCGGGCTCACCGGCGTCGAGGCGGCGCGCGAGGTCCTCCGGGTCGACGTCGACGCCGAAGGGGTTCTCGGCGAAGGCGGGCGACCTGAGGAAGCCCGTGGTCTCGTCGGCCGTGGCGAAGGCGTCGACCTGCATCTCGACCTGGTTGCCGTCCGGGTCGGCGTAGTACAGGCTCAGGGTCGGGCCGTGGTTGACGGCCCAGGCGGGCAGGATGCCGAGCGCCTTGCGATGCCGGTACGACGCGATTAGGTCGCCAAGCGTGGGGTAGGTGAAGGCAATGTGCTCGAGGCCCGGGCTGCGGTGCTGCTGCGGCGGGCCGGTGGTGGTGGTGGTGGCGGTGGCGGCTTCTGGGTGGGCGAAGATGGCGATGCGGTGGTGCTCGTCGTCGTAGGTGATGAAGGACATGGTGTCCGTCTCAAAGGGCGAGTGGCCGCCCAGGACGGTCTTGTAAAATGCCACCATGGGCTTGAACTGGGTGGTGCTGATGACCACGTGGGCGAGCTTGGCCGGGGGGAGAACGAAGGGGGTGTTGGGCTTGTTGGCGGCCATTATGTTGGGTTGGGTGTGGTTTATACTGAAACGGGATAGGAGGGGTCGTGTTTGTTTGTGGGTTGAGGAGTTGGAGATGGGGGCTTGCTTTGTGATGTGCGATGGAGAGACGTTTCTGGATGTCACTAATGGCGACGGACTGCTGGGGTTTATATTCATTTTGGATCTTGTTTGTTTAGTTGTTCTTGAGCCCATCTCTTGTCTTGACTGTGGACGGCGACGCTCTCCGTTGGGAACGACGCAATGGGCAGTGCGGCGGCTGCTCCACACCGTTCTGAATGCGGCCATTTAGGCAAACTAGGCCGTGCATATATACGCGCCGCACGTTGTTGCGCGCGCGCTGCTATAAGCCTTGCCGCGCGGCATCAGCAAAACCACAGCCCGACGACTTCTCGACGTTTGACCATGGATCATTCTTAGTCCGTACACAACTACACCGGGGCAGTCCCCGCCCGGAGATTTTCCTACATGATATTATTACACGCACCGGGCAGCCTGTCCATCCGTATCTCCGATAGCAGCTGCCCGATTCCCGATTTCGACTCACCCTCAGCGCTTACTTGGCAAAGAAACCCCAGCCTGCGCCGACGACATCCAAAGCCTCGACGCTGCATCAAAACCAGATCCAACTCGTCGTACATCATACAATGGCCCACCCTCCCTTTCCCTCACGTCAGATGCCCGAGTCGTGCTGCCTGAACTGGGCCCTCTGCGGGTAAAACGCGCGCCAGGCCTCGCAGTTGCGCTCCGTCGCGCCGAGGTCCATGGCGCCCGCAATCTCGCCGGGCCGCTCGAGGTACTGGACGCTCGGGCCCTGCGACACGTGCCAGGCGAGGTGGCAGTGGAACAGCCAGGCGCCCGGGTTGTTGGTCTCGAAGGCGAGCACGATCCAGCCCAGGGCCGGCAGCATGGTTGTGTCGCGCCGTCGGGTTGTTGGGCGTCAGCGTCGCTCGGTCTGTCGAGTCGTCGTACGCCCGCGGCCGCGCCCCCGCCGACATGGGGTCCGCCGGCGGCTGGGACTGCCCGACCAGCACGAGGTCGTGTCCCTGTGGGGAGAGGAGTTAGCGGAGCGTTTTTTTTCTTCTTTTTTGCTTGGCTGGGCGGTAGGACGGCTACGTACATGCAGATGCATCGGGTGCTGAAGTCCGGTTCTTGGTCAGTTCTGGACAAGATCCCTTTCTCTTTTCCTCATCGGGTCAACCACTTACAGGGATGGGTGATACGTTCTGGATGACCCAGAAGCTCCACTAGTGGCAAGTGTGTATGTCAGTAACCGGGCAGATGGCCACAAGAAGGACGCGGCACTTACACTGTCTGCCGTCGGGATCTTGACTACGTTCGCCGACGTGCCAGCCCCCTCGAGGGCGCCGGCCGCCCCGATCCGCGACAGCGTCGGCTCGTTCCACGACACGTTGATGGGCGACCTGTTGACGGTCCAAAACACGCGCGCCGCCTTGCCCTCCACCACCTTCATCTCCAGGTCGAGCGACGACTGTCTCCCCGGCTCGAAGAGCTCCAGCGGCACCTCGCGCTGCACGATGGGCGTCAGGTCGCGGAGGTCCACGCAGCGCGAGTCCATCACCTCGACGCGGGGCGGCGGCGCCGCGGGGGCGGGAGCGGGAGCAGGGGATGTTGTTGTTCATCTGGAACATGCCGTGCCAGTGGATACCCGTTCTTTTGTTTGGACCTGTCAGTCCGTCGTTTGCCAACATGGGGAAAAGGTGTGGCACACCTACCCGTTGGTCTGGAGATTGTTCACCACATTTATCCGTATCCTGTCGCCCCAGTCTGCGTGCCATCGTCAGTCATTAGTTGGCGCTGCTCCATGTCTCGGCGGTCACTGACTTACCTGCTTCTATTGTTGGCCCTGGGAACTGGCCTGGTACAGGTTAGCAAGCTGCATTAGAAACCAGCATGCCCCTTCAGAGCCCACCCTTGTTTCCTACCGTTTATGAGCATCGCCTTCTTCTTCACCTGGCCATCCCCACCCACGAAATTGTCTACCTCTGTTATTGTGAAGTCATACTGTGCTATCGTTAGCCCTTTTTTTTTCTGCTAGCACAAGAACCACCCTCCATCCGTGTCTTGACTTACCTGTCTCACCACCCCCGTCTCAGGAAACCTGACGGCCCAGTCTGTGTGTATGTCGAAGCTCGGGTCCAGCACCCAGCACGACCTGTTGGAGGGCGTGTTGCACGAGCCGGACGCGTCTGCTGCCACCTTGATGCCGAGCGCTGGTGGCCCCGTGTGCGCCCCCGAGGCCCGCACCGACTCCGGCCCTCTCCTTCCATGGCGGTGCTCCCCCTCGAAAGGGGCTGCGGCTGAGGGGACGACGGCCCAAGCCAGCAGAACCGGGGCGCAGTAGGCGGCAGCGCCGCGGAGAACCCTCATCGCTCACCGGCCGTCTCGCTCGGTCCAGGCTCGTCCACCCCGGGGAGGTCCCTCAAAGAAGCTATGCTGGACGGGCAGTGATACAGTCTCAACCGGGTCAACAGCTCATGGTCATGCTGTCTCGACTGTTTGCCTCTTTCATGGCCCGCAAGCTCCCCCGGAAGCAAAATACGGGCCACTAGAAACTACGGCCACCTGCCTTCTTATATATGCGCGCGCAGGCCGTTGGGCCCGGAGAGCATTATGCAGCCACGAGACCTGGCCAGGATGGGATGCCGGTAGCTCCAAACGGCTGCCCTAGCCTGCCGAGCCGACCGATCGATGGCCAGATCGGGAAGGGCGGCCCTGGCGAGGACAAGGGACGGAAGCAAAAAGGTTTGGCTTATGGCAGGCCTAGTCACGTCATTTCGCAACAGCCAACCCCTTTTAGCACTCGGGGTTCGGCCAACAAAGCCGGCGCCCCTCCCCAGGGCTGAAAACCTGATGCCAGGCACAAGTCACGTAGCTGCATGTTAATTACCATACAGTATGGCCGCATATGCACGCTCTGATGGCCGGGTGGCCTCTGCGGCGGTCGCACGGCCGAGGGACATGTCATCGATGTGCGTGCCAACTCTGCCCAACCCGACTAAGAACAGCCGTCCCAGGGCTGGAGAGTCAGGTCTAGGCCCGGCGGGATTTCAGCAGCTCCTTGGCGCCGTCTTCCGACCTGATATACCGAGCCGTGCCTGAGGTTCCCATTATATATCGCCGTGGTTCACCGGCATCGCTCATCGCAATCGATGACCTTCTGCGATCTATCCGCCCTAGCTTCAGCTCCTACCATAAAGGGAGATACAAAAGCAGCTCTGCTGCAGCGCTCAAAAAAGGGGCCGGATCTTATGCACACGCAAACTCCAGCTTAGTGTTCATCCCAGGAGAAGCCTCGGTTTGCTGAAGCTCGACAGGACCCGCTGACGTATAGCCACTCGTACCTGCACCTGGTTGGCTTTAGGAACAGGGCGTTCTGCATGTGAGTCTGCAGGACAACCATTTGCATGCAAAACTAGGAAGCAACAAGGTTTCGTCTTGTTCTGCCGTCATGGGCTAGGCCCGTCCTTCCGCAATTAATCCACGTGCAAGGGGGTAACGGAGAAACACCGAGACACTTCGACTCGTGGAAAGCTAGGTAGCACTGGTAAGACGTCCTGGTGGACCCCCC